TTGCTTTGATACTACATATATAGGTACTACATGTGGACCTCTCTCAGATTTGTTTATTTCGTGATGATATCTTCAATTCTCTAATTTTGGTGAATATTTTTGTCATTTTTGGTAAAAAGTGATATTTTTGACTTCTTGTTAAAAACCGCAAGTCCGATTGCTTTGATATTACATATATAGGTACTACATGTGGACCTCTCTCAGATTTGTTCATTTTGTGATGATATCTTCAATTCTCTAATTTTGGTGAATATTTTTGTCATTTTTGGTAAAAAGTGATATTTTCGTCTTCTTGTTGAAAACTGTAAGTCCGATTGCTTTGATATTACATATATAGGTACTACATGTGGACCTCTCTCAGATTTGTTCGTTTTGTGATGATGTCTTCAATTCTCTAATTAATTTATTTTGGTGAATATTTTTGTAATTTTTGGTAAAAAGTGATATTTTCGACTTCTTGTTAAAAACTGTAAGTCCGATTGCTTTGATACTATTCATATTGTTCATTTTCTAATGATGTCTTCAGTTCTTTAATTGAAATGTGCATTGCTAACAGCGGAGCTATCTCAGCCGATAGGCTGCTTGTTTAGTGGTTCCATGACTGTTCCACTGATATCTAAACAACCACTCATTGGATTTTGATGAAACTTGGTACATAGATGCTCTGAACTAATGCTAGGTTTTGATTAGTTTTTGGTAATAATCCGTGGATACTAATTACCTAATTTGCATAATGATTAGTCAATTTTCGGTTTTTCCACTGATATCTCAAGTACTAATCATCACATTTCAATGAAACTTGGTACATAGATGTCATATGACACTGCACAGACCTGATAGTTTTTATGGTAATATCAATACATATAATTACCTAATTTGCATAATTAATTAATTTTCAGCTTTTGATATAAGTAGTGAGCATTACATTTCAATGAAACTTGGTACTAACATACTCAAGGACTATTAATCACCTAATTTGCATAATTAGTTAATTTTCAGCTATTTCACGGGTATCTCAAGTACTAATCATTGCATTTCAATGAAACTTGGTACATAGATCTTTTAGGACTATGCAGATCCCTGATTAGTTTTAGGGTAAATAATTGTGCATATTAATTACCTAATTTGCATAATTAATTTTCAGCTTTTCTACTGATATCTAAAGTACTAATCATTACATTTCAATGATTCTAGAATTATGCAGAGACACAATTAGTTTTCGGTAAATATTTGTGCATATTAATCACCTAATTTGCATAATTAACCAATTTCCAACTTTCACACTGATATCTCAGGTACTGATTATCACATACATGTATCAATGAATGTTTGTACATGGATGCTGTAGGACAATAGACAGACCTCGATAAGTGTGGGTTAAAATCTGTACATATTAATTACCTAATTTGCATAATTAACCAATTTTAAGCTTTCACACTGATATCTAAAGTAATTATTCCATTTCAATGAAACTTAGTACAAAGATGCTCTAGGACAATGTACAAACCTAATTAGTTTCGGGTAAAAATCTGTTCATATTAATTCCCTAATTAGCATAATAATTCTTAATTTTTTGGTTCTAATCAAATTTCAATTAAACTTGGTACATAGATCTTTTGTTACATTACGCAGACCTCATTAGTTTTACACTCAAATCTGTTCATATTAATTTTCTGATTTGCATAATTAGTTTTCAGCTAAGTAATTTCAAATTATATTTAATGTGTCTCCAATACTCTCAGCACATGGGAGTTCTTTCTAAGCTTTCTTGGATTTTTTATTGTATGTATATAAATTGTCAGTTGCACTCTTTTCTGAGGGGGTGCTCGGGTAAGCGCCCACCCCTAAAAAATCCTGATTTTATGAGTTGAGGACCCTGGGCGCTAATGCGGTTGAGTACGTTAACAAAACGTATACGTTACATTACATTACAGAGGTCTTAATCTCAAGATATGATTTTTTTTAAAAATGGTTGTAAAATTTAGCTAGTTAGAAAATAAATAAATAGATACAGACTATTTTAATTTAATAAACCTGAGTTAGTCTTTCATGTATGATTGACCACTTTTTGTTATGTACCTCGAGTTTACTCTTCTTCATTGCAATATATTCTTCAATCTCTTTTACCATGGTTAGAGACCACGTCAAAAGATAGATGTCGGATAAAAAACTTATTTGCTTTTAATTAGTTTGGGGGTGGGGGGTTTTGACCTCAAAAAGTTTCTATCCTACAAAAACAATTTTATTTTTTAATAAAGTCAAAAAAACCTTGGAGTATTTGTAGTTTTTTTTTTCTATCCAATCATAGACAAAAATAACTGAAAATGAAAAAACAAACATCCAAGACAAGAAAACGGTTTGGTCAGAGTGTAAATATGTGCGTCAAATGAGGTCAACTTCAGGGCATGGACCTAGAGTCTGCGCAGAACCCAAAAAAGTAGTTTGCGCATGCGTATATTCCCCTTCATTATTACAACCAACTGCTGGTCTCATGCCACTAATTAACCAATGGATGCTCGTAGCCCTCAATTTAAATGCCTTGCAAGAACCAATGAAATTTTTAAAATATTTTTGATCCATGTTTTTAACTTTCTTCGTCATTTTCATATAGCAATCTCGTCATATGTTAACATTGTCGTCTATGGAAATTCAATTAGTGGTATGAGCCCTGCTATGCCATACTACTGTCCGATTATCAATTTGTATTTAATGGTGAATGTAGTCTGACGCCATGATCAATATTTATCAATTAAGTTTCAGTGGGGGGTTTTGGGAAAAAACTAAAAAAAATTTATCCGACATCGATCTTTTGACGTCGTCCCTTATGTAAATATTCAAATTTGGAATGATTAGTTGCAATTTTTGAACAACTTGTAATTATTACCCATCTTGTTATTTCATTAGGTCAGTCTAGTTTTGAGTATGACATATTTGTTGTCAATTTCAAAACACATTCTCCGACTAATATTGTAGCAAACAATATCTCACTACATTGTTAAGATTTATTTATTCAGGAACATGTATTTGTTTTCAGAGTCCCGTACCTTGCCGTTGCCCGTACCTTTGAAGCAATTGAAGAAATCACTGCTAGGCTCAAGATTGTGAATATTTTAGGCAATTTTTTTCGTTCAGTGATCGTTCTGTCACCGGATGATCTTTTATATTGTTTATATTTATGTCTAAATAAATTAGCACCAGCGTATGAAGGAATAGAGTTGGGTCTTGGTGAGACTGTGCTAATGAAAACAATAGCCCAGGCCACTGGTAAGTGTGTCACTTGTTAATGGTTAGTTTGATTTGCTTTTTCCTCAAACTTTTTAAAATTACTTTTCATATCTAATTTTTGTTTGTTTTAAATTTTTATGATGACACTGACTATCGCCAGCAAAGCAATGTAGGAAGGTCAAATATATTTCAATTGAATACAGAAAATATTTATTAAAATGTTATTTGATAAATCTAGAGTTTCATCTCAGGTGTGATTAATGTTTATTATTTTTAACTCTGTCAGTTTACATCATACCGATGTAATATATCTAAACTATGATACACTCAACTTTCTTTCTTGTACAACAGGACGAAGTTTGGATAAAATTAAAATAGATACCGCTGAAAAAGGAGACATTGGATTAGTTGCTGAAGTAAGTTTCATATCATATGAATAAGTGCAAGGTCACAACTATTATTATTTTTATTATTATTATCATCATCATTATTATTATTCAAAGATTACTAGAATGGTCAAATGAAAATCATAACATATATTAGATTCAAACCTTTAAGCCAAAGAGACACTTTCACAATAAAATAAACTAAAATCAACAAAAGATTGTTGCACATCACATTTATTTGACGTATTGTCTTGGTAGAATTTACTCATAACTTAGCTTTATACTTTAAAAGTCCCATTATGATTTTATTGATGATGTTCATTTAATTTTTTTCTCCTAGTCAAGTCGAAGTAATCAGCGTACAATGTTTGCCCCTCCCAAACTGACAGCATATGGAGTGTTCACAAAACTCAAAGATATTTCTTCCATGACTGGAAATGCAGTAAGTTCTGTTCTGATAGTTTTGCTCTGGTGTTAGAGCGCCCTCTATAACTTTCTTCTATTTTACTTTGTTTATGGCATTCACCATTTTGTTCCATAGATGAGAGTTGATGAGTTGTGTACACAAGACACAGAAGTAGAAAAATGATATATCTTTTTTTTGAAAATCAGTCAATTGTTTCATTACAGCACATAAAGCTGATTCAACCACACTGATAATGACAACATTGGAAAAGTTGATTAAGCCAACTGCTGATTATTTTATGAAAACCAACTTCTAAAATTTGACTACTAGTTAATCTGCTATTCTATTAAAATAGTTTTATCGCTAAGTTGTTTGGAGATGTATACTCATGTGGTCTTGTGTGTGGACACTTTCTAATAATTGTGTGAAACCAACAATTTATATTTTTTGGGTTTTTTTTTTTGCAGTCGATGTCAAGGAAGATAGACAAAATAAAGGGAATGTTTGTAGCATGTAGGTTCTCAGAAGCCCGGTATCTCATCAGGTAGAGACTTATTTCAAATTTGTATTTTTATTTATTAGGAACTTGATTCCCATTATACATAGTAATTTGCTAACTTATCTCCCATAATGCATTGCAATATGCTAACTTATCTTCTATAATGCA